CACCCTGAGGACGTAACTAACCACTGGCGATACAGACATTTAGAGAGAACATCAGCAGTTTGCTTTTGTAATGCATTTTTTCCCTGCTGATATCAGACAGATTAAATTTAAATGATACATAAAAAAACTAACATCATATCCTCTGAGCTAATCATCTCCTCATGAGCTAATATCATCTTCTTGTTCACTATTTCTAAGAACTGTAGAAACCTAAAACACTGTTTGAAGGAGAAATATTAAGAGGAAAAAGGGCGGAAATACATCCAATTTAAAAATACAAATGAGTAATTATCCTAGTTGCATTCAACTGTAATTGTTAAGGCATTTTTTTTTAATTTAGTGATGGGTTTGGATTTCTAAACAAGAAGGCAAATATTGAATCATATGGAACATATAGCAAATAGAAGGAATCATCATAATAAAACCTTTGCTATGCTCATTTATATAATTTTAACAGTTTTTTAAACTAAAATTCCTCCCTCAACATTTATTACAGGTATATATGTATAACTTTCTTTAAAAGATCAAACAATGTGTGACTGATTGACTGATTAAGGGACATAAAAATAACATACAACACACATTAAGATAAAATGAACTATTAGTCATATGTCTGTCTCATTGCTATCTTCAAGATCCTAAAACTGCCATTAACAATTACTCAGTTTTATAATTTCTCTAAATTGCACCTTGAGGTTCACTTATAAAAGTAGCTGAATGAATAATTTATTTCAAGGGAATAGGCATTTTATTGAAACTATATTAATACAAACAAGGAAACAAGGATTACATAGAGCAGAGGATCTATACATTTATTGCCAGATACAACCTTCCTTCAAATGAAATAAGGTAAATATAGTAATTTGGGGGCTGTAAGTGTGGCTCAAGTGGTAGAATACCTGCCTACCAAGAGTGAGGCCTTGAGTTCAAACCCGGGTTTGGAATAATTCAAAATTCACTTAAAATATTTTCTAAAACAGCACTTGAATTCTAGTACTGGAGTTGTACAGTTTCCTGAAAGACACATACTTTTTTAAATGTTTTCCAATCTTTGTAATATGGCATTATACTCACTATAGTATGTTGTACTATCCTTTATAGCTTTATGTCATAAATGTTTCTTAATAATCTTTTAAAGACAATACATGTAAGATATTATGGAGTGAACATTCCATCACATTTAAGAAAGAGAATGCTACCATTATCTTTGAGATCCCCTTTGAGGCTTTCCCTATCCTAGCCTATTCTCTTTATCTTCACTGTTATAGTGTATTTCCTACATGCATATATCACAATATAGTTACCATACATAATTATCACCAGTATGGTTGTCAGAAATTTATGTTGTTTTTAGTATTTTTGCTGTATGGCTTTGCAATATGGTATTGTTACACAAGTTCTTACATATAGCTCTTCTGTGAGAGGTCAGGCTTGTGGGGAACATGTCTGAATCTTTAAAAAATAATGTCACTATTTCTCAAAGTGGCTGCCCCATCTACATTTCTACCTGCAGTTTATAACAATTCCAGTTGTTCTACATTATTACTAATACTTGAATTACTAGACTTTTCTCATTTTTGCCAATCTATTGGGTATAAAGTGGTATCTCATTGTGATTCATTCATATTTCTCTGCTTACAAAAGAGGTTGAGTACTTTTTCATGTTCATTAACCAGTCAGGTTTCTACTTCGGTACTACAACTCAAGTCTTCAGCCCATTTTTCTACTGGATTATTTACCTTCTTTTCATTGATTAAATGCATTTGTCATATATTTGCTTATCACTCCTTTGTCAATTATATGTGTTTTAAATATCTTCTCTTTGTTGTATTTTTTCATTTTTATTGTAGAATCTTTTATCAAACAACAGTTCTTCAGTTTAATGTAATTGGTTTTGTCCAATTTTTTTTGTATGGTTTCTGCTCTTTGTTGTTGTTAGAGGTGCTAGAGTTTGAACTCAGACCCTCGCACTTGCTTGGCAAGTGCTCTACAACTTGAGCATTATCTCCAGCCCTTCTTGCTTTAGATTATTTTTCAGATTTGCCTCAGGCACAATCCTTCTACCTGTACCTTCTATATAGCTGAGATGACAGGAATACATACATCATCATACCTGGCTTGTTTTGTTAAGATGCGATCTCAAGTAACTTTTTGCCAGGGTTGTCCTTAAACCATGATCCTCCAGACCTCCATCTCCCAAGTAGCTGGGATTATAGCCATGAGCCATGTCACCTAGCTGGTTTCTGCTTTTCACCTCGTTTTAAACCCCTTGGGTCACTACAGATAACAATAATGTACTGTACACTTCGAAAGGCCATAAGAAAAGATATAAAATTTGTTCAACATACAAAAGTAATGAATGAAAAAGATAAATATGTTTAACCCGATTTAAACATCACGTGGTATATTCATTACATGGTAGCCCATTAAGATTGATAATTTTGTGTTATGTGTCACTTTCTCCTGTAGTAGCTTCTAACAAGAAATTTTTTTCCTATAATATCTTCCAACAAGACTGGTTTGGACTTTCACAGTTAATCTACCTTGAATTGATTTTGTGGTAGGTTTGTGATAGGGGTCTAATTTTTTCCTAAACAGGTAACAAATTGTCCCATTACTATTGCATAGCTGTAACCAAAATGCCCAAAAGAACAACTTAAAGGAGGAAAGATTTATTTTGACTCATGGTTTCAGAAGTTTCAGTTCATGGTTGATTGGCCCCACACATTTGGACAGAACATCATGGCAGCAGAAGAATGTAGCAGAGGAGTTTGTTTCCTCATGGTGGATAGGAAGCAGAGAGAAGCAGCTACAAAGAAGGGGCCAGACCACCCAATACAAATACAAGCAATATTATGAAAAACAGATCCCACTAAGGGGAGGTCACTAACAGGAAAGGGAGGATAAAAGAAGGAAGTTAAGAAGGTGAATATGGTTGATGTACTTTCTATATAAGAATGAATATAGCATTTTTAAACCTGTTGAAATCATCATATGAAGGGGACTAAAGTAGAAGGAAAATGGGGGATGAACCAATTAGGGTTTATGTATGTATATATATATATACACACACATATATACTTATATTCTTATACAAACAAAAATGTCTTTTTTCAAAAATGGAGACTAGGAAGGTAAACCAGATCCTGTCTGGGGGTTGGTACCAGTGTGTGGGGGAGGAGATATAAGGAAGGGTGTAGGAGGTGAATGGTGGACATATTATGTACTCATGTATGAAAATGGAAAAGTGAGAGCTTTTCTTCATGAGCTGAGTAAAAAGTATGTTGGCTTACTGATTTATTTTCTGTGACATCTACATATATAATTATATGTAGGATTTGAATATTAACAATACAAAATCAAAAAAGTCTATAAGCCTACTGCAAAAGCTGATACTCTGCTTTGGAATAAATAACCAGAAATCCAACTATCCAAGGTCTGCTCAAATGATTTCATAAAAAATAAAGTAACTAAATGTAAGTGCTTCTTTTCATTAACATGAATTACAAAGGAATCAATCTATGTTATGCAAAAAGTCAGTGTTAAAGATATGGATCATTTACTTGAGGGGCCAGGCGTGTTATCAGCCATCACTGCTATTTTAAAAAAGTAAATCTAAACAAATAACATGTTCTACTGGAAAGGGCAAATAGGAATTTAGAGATTCCTATATTCTCTCACTTAATGTACTTCAGTAACAGCAACAAACATGTTTATTTTAGGCCATGGGCAGTTCATTAGAAAGGTGTTGGAAACTGGGTATGGAAATGAGGTACTTGAAAATAACATACTTTTATAAAAATCCACTTTGTACCCACTTCCAGAAATGCTTCACTGTAGTTCTCATCGCAGCATTTATTCATGCATTCAATAATATTAAGTCCCTAGCTTAACGCTAGGCATTTTGCTAAATACTAGAGATAAAAAGATTAGTTAAGAGTTTCTATACTCAAGATGCTTATAACCCAGTAAGTCTCATCTAATAATAATAAGATAGAGAAGATTCAGACATGAATAATTCATGGTAAATAAAGGCACTCCCAAGGATTACTAACTACAGATATCAACACTTTTCAAGACAATGAGACAATGCAGAATGAGCATAACATACAAATCTTTAAAAAAATTATTTATGCAGAGTTGAGATGTGTGAATTCAGCTCTATTTAAACTTTTTCTCAATACTAGAATTAAAAAGATCTTTTTCAAATATGAGAACCATTCAGTCACTACCCCACCTCTGGCTCCCCAAAAAACAACCACTACACAGTTGCAGGCTTTCTTACAGGATCTTATTTAGAATACCGAATTATGAACAAAATCAAAATATACACATGAGCTGGCAGTCATTTTTCATTAGAATTCTAACCATGTCAGTGTAGTTCTGTCCATTGAAAAAACACATCTTTACCTCTCAAGTAAACCTTTGGTATCTGTGGGTACGTGGTCCAAAGGAGATCAACACTGAGGAAAACCTACAAATGTGAGGATGCTTGATTCATTTTTCCCATAATGCCGCCCAATGTGCCCTAAAGACATGCCGCCTTTCAACAAACCTAAAATTTTCACTTTATCACAAAAATTAAGCACATTATGTGCCCTTTTTTTTTGGCTAGGGAGGACTATAACTTTTACTTTGCTTTTTGGGCATCATTTGCTTTATTTGGAAGCAAAATTTTCATAAAATTAAGGTCACAGAAATACTTAGCAGATCATATGATGATTTAAACAAAACTGACAATAACATGAGACTGAGATTTTCTCTGCATCAACTGAGCTGTGTACTGTGCACGTAGAATTTTTGTTTTTGAAATTTCTTTTGTTTTTTGTAATTTTTTAACTGCGCTTGTTCAAAACCACATGCAATAAATCTGCAAATAAGGCAGGCTTTCTATATTGTGACATGAATTCTCTATTTCCATAACGTTAGAAAACATGCACTTCTAATTGGGGACTGAAAGGGTGAAAGATACAAAGTTAAAACAAATCAGTAATACTTACTGGTTTGATTCGAAGCTGACCACCCACCACCTCGAGAATGGCATGTCTTCTAGAAACTCTCTTGTCTGTTATCTATAGGGAAAAATGAAAATTTCAAACACAGTCACCTCCGTAAAAACAACAAAACAAGTGAACAAAACCTTTAGCAATGTTCCTGAAATACATATAGATTGAAAATATATCATTCATTCAACAAATATGTATGGAAATGATGATCCTTATTTAACAGATAATAAAACAATTCAGAGATTAAGAAACCTAATGGAAGAGTAATGCCAGAGGCAAGGCAAGCTTGGGATTTAACAAATCCCAAAACCTTACACAACAGTTTCCCTTCATGACTAGTGGGGATTCTTACCAATAAAATTTATAAAATGAGAATAAAAAAACCTATATAATACTTGCTTATTAGGAAGTATTTTAAATATAAAACATATACATTGTGTTATAATGACAAAGGTTTTAAAAACAGGAGGTTTGGTCAACATATGACTGTAAGTTTTGGGGTCAGGAAAATTTGCATTAAAGCTTTGGGGCCATCCACAGTATTTAAGAAAAAAAGAAGAGAGAAGGAAAAATACTAAAAATCAAATATTTATGGTGAAGCAAAAATTAGCATGTTTTCAAAAATATATTTGCTTCCTATTTTGAGCCAACAATGGTTATGCTCACAATTATTTCTACATACCAAAGTTCAAAAATTATTTGCATTTTAAACACTGTTAATCCTTCTCTTGGGTCTGGGGGCCTAAAGGACAGATGAGTAAGTCAGTATCTCATCTCCCATGGAGAGCACTATGAGACTTGCACCCATTATACATGGTCTCATAAATCTGTCATGGGACTAATAGATAGGATGCTCTCAACATTGTTTCCCCCCAGTAAGGGGCAAACAGAGTAGCTCATTGAAGAGAGCCCACACGTGCAAATCTATAACCAAGGGAAAGAACCCACCTAACCCTTACCCTAACCCAGAGTTAAAGTGTCCATAAAAAGCCCCAGCCTTCACCTCAGCAGGAAGCCATGGGTTTCCAGGCTCCACTGCACTGCTCTAGCTGCAGTTCTCTTTCCCTAATAAATCCTACTTTGTGTGCTGACTTTGTTGTCTCACGAGTCAATCTGCTGCCTCATGAGCCAAGTTTTTGGCCCATGAAGGCAAGAACTCTTGACACCAGCCTGCAACATTCTGGCGACCATGAAGGCACACCTCTCCTGGACCAACGCTGGTATGACTGAGCACCAAACCAGCAGGAGTTTGCCTAAGGTATGACTTGAGCCTCCAGTACCCTGCTGGATTCTCCTGCTGGGGGAAACCTCCAGCTGAGGACAAGCCAAAAGCCAACTTCCCTGTGCTGCTCCCCATTTCTCTCTCTGTTCCTGTTTTCCTGAGGAACTTTCCTGTTATGGTATCGGACCAGCAGCTCCTAGCCAACTTTGGCCTCATAGTGATTCCAGCTCTGCAGGTGCTCTCTGCTCCCTTCCTGCAAGTTGAGACTGAACCCAGAGTTGATTTGCTACCTTACGCTACATTGGAAGAGGCCTGTTTGGTTTTGGCACCTGGCATTCTTCTTCTTCCTCCAACTGTCAGTACCCCGTTCTGCCAGAGGCAGTGACCTGAGAGTGGAGATTTTGTGTGGGTGACAGTGTTCAGTACCACTTAGTGGGAAAGAGCTGAAAGCTCACTGAATTGTAATCCCTTGAGCATGTGTTGTGTATCTCAGCTCTGTTCCCCCTAACTCACCTCCGATGTCAGGTCACACCTTCTGTCCCCACCATAAATGGCGAACATACTTTTACTCACACACTCCCTCACTGGTCCCGCAGCCTTGTTTGTCTCTGTCTGCCTTCCCCTCCCTGTGTTTACTGGGACCCTGTCCTCCCAGAGGAAACTCATACCACAGTTTCTTATGACTTTCTTGAGTAACTCCCATACCTAGTTTGTCATTCCCTTTGGTCCACACCAGTTCTGAGTCTGCTGCTGAGCACCAGACAAGGCAAGGGCACTGCAGGGAACCATGGCCTGTGGGGCAGACCCGGTGGGAGTGAGGACCAATGAGGGCTTCACACGCCATAAGTGCACCCAAACCCCCATCCCCTAGGAGCAGCCCTTGCCACAGCCAAGGCATGGAAAGTTCCCAGCTGGCATACAGTCACTGCTACACATGTGGATGAACTGCGACCCGCCACCAGTTCCCCAAAAAGGGATGAAGGGAAAAACAAGCAAACACACATGCATGTACAGAAGGAGGAGTGACAGGCTGGAGGGGTGGGACTAGGTGGAGGGGGTTGCTTGTCCGGGCATTGGGGAGGGCAGCAGTGCCTCGCCCAGTTGTGGTGCGTGCCCATTCCCATGCCCAGTTCTGCTTCGCACCCAAGGGCAGCGGCTGCCCAATTTTTATCCCAAAATTATAGTCCCACGAAGTACTGATGTAATCTTCTGGGAACAGTTGAAAAATGGGTGTTACTATGGTCTCTGGACCTCTCATTTAAAACTTCCTACACTTTTGGCCTCAACATAAAAAAGTTTCCTCCAAATATTGACACTAGTCGTCCCTTTGTGATACTATGATTGCTCTGGGACTACCTCTGAGAACCCTTCTCTAACTCTACAGGCACTTCTCCAGGTAATTCATCCCTTTGTTAAAGAGGGAGCCTTCCATTTGGCTGCCTGCTTTTGGTGATATAAAGCTAAAAGGCAGGATCCTAGAGGTTTTCACTGAATAAGCAGGGTGGCCCAGTTGGACCAATCACTACATTTCCTTTGATCCTGGACACGGATGGCAGAAGGAAATCAAGAGGCCTGCTCTCCTCAGGTCAAGCCCCAGTCGGGATGCTGACAAGAGGGGAATGGACCCAGTCTTTTTTGTTGTTCTTCTAGATGGGACCTGCCCCCTCCAGTCTTCAGGCCTCAGAATCCAAGTGGTCTCCACTGGCCTGTCCACTGAAATGTTGGAAGGACCTTGACCCTAATAATATCAAGAAAAAAACCCTTATCTTTCTTGGTACTGAGGCCTGGCCCCAATACCCCTTGGGTGGCCAAGAGAAGTGGCCTTCAGAGGGCTCCTTAAATTATACCATATGCTAATTAGACCTTTCCTGTAAATGGAGGAAAAATGGACTGAGGTTCCCTATATACAGCTTTTCTTTTATCTCCAGGACCACCCAGAATGGCTCCATAATTGCTATCTAGAAACTCAAACACTGGCTGTACTTTGTAAGTCACAGGATAAACATGGGGAAGAAGGACCAGTTAAGCCCCTTACCAGTGACAAGGCCCCCGTCCCTACTGCTCCTTCTACTGCTCCACCCTCTGCCCTGCCTTCTGAGCCACCCCAATATTTGGGACCTCCTAATGGATGCTTCACCCTCCAACAGGCAATGGTAGGAAGACGGCGAGTCTATGTCCCCTTCCAGTATCAGATCTAAGGGAGATTAAAAATGACTTGGGTAGCTATACTGATGCCCCAGACCAACATATCCAGGCTTTTATTTCTGTGATCCAAACCTTTGAATTGGCATGGGAAAATATCATGCTTCTCCTAGACCAGACTCTTTCCTCATTAGAAAAGCAATGGGTCCTAGCCCAGGCCACCCAGGTTGGAGATGATTTCATCTACAATAAGCCCCAATACCCATGGTACCCAGAAATGAGGAAATGAATATTCCCATGCCCACAGGGGCACATACAGTCCCCTTGACAGATCCACACTGAAATCACAATGATGATTGGGATGAATGGCATTGATGCCATTTCATCCATGTTACAGTGGAAGGGCTAAAAAGAGCCAAAGTTAAACCTCTAAACTATTCCCAGGTGACTGAAGTACAAGGCCCTGATGAAAACCCCCTTACCTTTCTACAGCATCTTAAAGATGCTATCAAAAACATACCACAGTGGATTCAGAGTCACAGGTGGGAGAGGTTCTCCTCAAAGATAAATTTCTAACTCAGTCAGCCCCAGATATTTGTAGAAAACCCCAAAAGCCCATGGCTGAAGGGGAAAAGTTATTGGACCAACTAATGCAACCAGCCACATCTGCATTCTATAACTGGGACCTCACTAAAAAGAGACCTAATTGCAGCTCTCTGGGAGTGCGCCACCGAAGGGCCTTTATCCTGAGCTTCCTACCATTGCAGACAGGAGGGGCACTTCCGCAGGAAATGCTCCAAAGGGGGACAGCCTGGGAGACAGCCCTGACCCCCACTGGGACCTTGCCCCCTCTGCAAAACTGACCACTGTAGGTCTAAGTGCCCCCATCTCCAAATGGAAGGTGGGGTGTCACCTCCTATGGATTGATGGGTCCCAGGGCCTCCTGTCCAGGTTCCACTTATTGACATCAATGTTGAGGAGCTTCGGGTAGTCATAATAGTAGAGAAGTGAAAGGTCATCTTCCTCCTAGACAGTGGAGCCCATTTCTCTGTTACCATTCTCTCCTGGTCCCTGGTCCAATAACAAGGTTATTGTTCAGGGCATATCTGGCCAGCCTCTAGAGTGCTATTTTACTTGGCCTCTGGCCTGCTCTTGGGGAGACCTTCATTTCTGTCACTCTTTTCTCACAGACCCTGAGACTCCAGTGTGCTTGCTAGGATGGGATTTACTATCTCAACTAAAGGCTCAATTTCTACTCCCCCTGGGAGAATACTACTGCTACCCCCTTCTTCAGGAACAAGTAGATCCCACAGTGTGGACTGATAAAATGACTGTAGGGTAAACAAAAACAGCCCTCTCGTTTGAAATAAAACTCAAAGATCCTTCACATTTTCCACATCAAAATCAGTATCCCCTAAAGCCTGAGGGACAGTGAGGCCTCATACTGATCATAAATTCCTTAAAAAAACAAGGGTTACTAATCAGTTCCTCCAGCCCCTACAATTCTATTCTTGCTGTCCAAAAAGGCCCAGATAAACGGAGACTTGTTCAAGATCTCCAGCTCATTAATAAAACAATCATTCCATCCATCCAATTGTTCCCAATCCCTACACTCTATTGGCTCAAATACCCTCAAAATCCCAATATATTACTCTATACTAGATTTAAAGGATGCTTTCTTATACATTCCTCTGCAACCTGA